TAAGGATCATCTCTTATTGATCCAGTGTTACTACAGAAGGAAACCTAAACTAAACTAACTTTATTTATACTGGATAGCTCTATCAGTTCTAAACTGTTCTTCCTAGAGGTCCAGTGAGGATCATCTCTTATTGATCCAGTGTTAATACAGGAGGAAACCTAAACTAATTTTATTTATACTGGATATATAGCTTCATTATTTCTATAAACTTGTAGAAACAACGCGAGTCAAGTCACCTACAACGATCCATGGTTTCACAGACAAACCCTCGCCCGTGGGTCGCGGATCCCGGAGGTAGGTTGTGAATATCAAGCGTGGCTTCCGGTGCCAGTCCTGCGCAAATCAGTCCTTCTACAATGATTTTTAATTAAAATATTATGCGCAAGGGTTAGCAGCACCTAGCCTGCGAACGGGCATACTCTGGGTACGAGATTGGGAAACCTCATCCTTGATTATGACTTATTTTTTATTATTTAATGTACTATAATCGTCTAGTATAGTATAGTATAGCCTTTTGGTTATAACTGCATTGTGAGCATGCACCTACTTTCCTGTAAAATTTACCTGCTGTTTTTTAACTGCTTTATAATAATAATTCATTGATGTAATGTGGTACTTAATAAATATCTTATTTACTAACCATTTTAATATACTAATATTTTAACAGATCGACATGGGACTCATTGATTTGCTTTCTTCAACTAATATACAGACTTATTTTTACTAATTATTCATAGTTAATTAACCACTAATTTACTAATCATTTAACAGATCAGCAAATCCTGACATGGAATTGATTTTCTTCAAATGATTTTTTATAGAAATAATGATGAGGAAAATGCAGATTCCACAGATTATGAGTTGTTAGTACTAGGAAATTTGTATAATTTTTATTGGGTTCAATTACGCTAGTTATGCTAATTATGTTCAATAACAATAGCACTTAGAATTAAGGGCGGAATCGCAAGGGTGCAGGTTCCATTGCTCATGCCAGAGAGGCTATAGTTGTATTATTCGCAACTGCCTCAGGTTAGATCTAATAAATGTATAAAAATTCACACTCGGCCGAAAATAACCCTGATATTTGTGATGTTACTCTGAGTGTATATCCACACCGGGCGAGCTTGAAAAGTATGCTCGGCCACGGTGGGAATCAAACCTACGACCTTTGGAATCGAACCTACGACCTAACATCACAAATTTCATATTCACCTGAGTACACAACACCAACACAGAAAAAAATCAAATAACCCTGATATTTACATATCTCTGTGCCAGAAGTCGCGCTGCACGTTGGAACTAAAATCGCCTCGTTTTAACATGTTTTTATTATTCCTAACGTGTTGTTATGGACCGATTTGAAAAATATAGTTCTCATTCTTTTTCCTTCCGAAATTAATATCAACCGATTTACACTACACAACTTTTACCTAAAACTATCGCATGCAGCCTGCTTACAACTTGAGTTGTACTGTGTAACTCAAGTACACAGCTCGCCTTAACATAGGCGAATTGTGTGTTTGATGTCATATTTCAAATCGGACTATGTCTATGAGGACAGGGTGTTAGCCAGAATTAAAAAAATCCCCGTTTACTTGAAATTGGGAAATTTATTTTAGCCTGAAGCCGGGCATTTCTTTGTGGGTCTGGGGGCATGCGGTTGCCCCCTCTCGACTGTGTCTTTGAAATGGCATTTCCCACATTTTGGGAGTAATTTTGAGCAAATATAGTTATAAACATGTTTTTAATGGCGTGTTAACAACATTGAATTTCTATAACTATTTTTTGGCTGACCCAAATTGGGAAATTGCGACCTCAAGGTAATTGGGAAAACTGCGTTTAACGCGGAATTTTTGACTGTAGCTAACACCCTGGAGGACTGGACTGGATTTCAGGTCCGTGCAATTTGATCAGTATTATCATGTGAGCAAAATAAAGCAATACGGTTGGCTAATTTACTCATGAATTATTAATGAGTTTGAGATTTACACAGCACAGGGATTGCAAGCGAATGTTTTAGACAAAAGTTGTAGACAAATAGGCCATTATCAATCTTTAACTCTTGCTCTTTGTCTCAAATAAGCCTGGTAATGCATAAAATATAAAATAATGAGAAATTGTGATAACTAGTTTTCGAATCAGTCGATTAACCACTTGCGTAATAGACTAAATTTTGATCTCAACAAAGGGTTTGGGGCTGTCAATTTCCCGTTTGTAATCTAAAATGACTGAAAATTGCAAACTTCGCAAGGCTATATTGTCCGCATTTTACAATATTTCGCAACGAAACTTTGGAATATTACCAATCTTGTGATGCTCTTTCAAGCTGTGATGAATTTTTTTTCTAGACTTGTTGAGATCAAAATTTAGTCTATTACGCAAATGGTCAATTAACCCTGCTGAAACCCACCAATTTAAGATGATAATGGAAAAAAAATCATATTAAGATGATAACTTAGTGAACAATTTGATTTCCTAATTTCTTCCTAGGTTGACCTCTGGTTCTGCGAACAACGAGAATTTAGCGCCGGAGGATGACGATTCAGGTAACCATAGTAACTCCTTTCCCTATAGCCCAGGCTCCCAGGGTCGCTCGCGGCCGGCTATAACGCACATGGTGAAAAGGCGCGAAGGTGTGCCTATGCCGCTGCCCGATGCAAGCGCTGACAAGTGGCTCAAGTATCATTATATTGATGACGAAAGGAGGAAAAAAGGTGATCTTGTATTGTCCGTGTTGATAGCGTTCGTGTTGATGTGTTCGTGTTGATAGTGTTCGTGTTATAGCGTCCCTGTTCGTGATTAGCATGTCCGTGTTAGTGGTTTTCATGTTTATGTTGATGATTTTCGTGTTCGTGCTGACAATGTATACACTCGTGCTTGTATGGTTTAAGCTTGTCTTGAAAGTGTTCAGTCCGTGTTGATATGTTTTCGCGTTCGTGCTGACTGATGGTGTTTGCGTGCTTAATAGCATTCGTGTTGATGGAAACGGTTTTGGTGTAAAGCCTGAGCTGTGTATGTTAGTGTGATAAAATTAACAGGACCCAGGTCATGATAGGCAAACCAGAGCAACGCAACCGAAGCTAGCACCAGTCTCACTGTTGCATTCATTGCGGACATTGCGAAATATGGATTGAGAAGTTTGGCTGCCAAAGTCTAAGAAAGAATTGGAAGGAGGTGGCCGTCTTCGCTCCGTCCGATACTGACTAACGTTTGACACCTCATTTAGTGTCAGAGTAACCATAGAAAAGATTTTTTTACCATACCATACCATACTGTATTTTATCACCTTACTGTACCATACCATACCATACTGTATTTTATCACCTTACTGTACCATACCATACCATACTGTATTTTATCACCTTACCATAACATACCAGACTAACATTTGATTCCTTATCTAGCGGCAGAGCAACCTTACAGAAGATATTCTTATCACGGCTCTGTCTTACGGGATGACGAACTAAAACCAGCTGACGCCCCAGAACGTCCAGTGAGTAACTTATCTTTATAAACTGAATGCAATTTGGAATACTTGCATCTGTGGTACATAACGTAACATTTCTTCATTCATTTACAGCGTATGCAAGCGGGAAGTGGCTGGTACAAGGAATTGTTTAAGGAAATGCACACCGGAGCTGGAAGTGAGTATTGATTTATAACTAACTACATTTATACTGGATAGCTCTTTCAGTTCTAAACTGTTCTCCCTAGAGGTCCAGTAAGGATCATCTCTTATTGATCCAGTGTTACTACAGGAGGAAACTTAAACGAAACTAACTTTATTTATACTGGATAGCTCTACCAGTTCTAAACTGTTCTCCCTTGAAGTCCAGTAAGGATCATCTCTTATTGATCCAGTGTTACTACAGGAGGAAACCTAAACTAAACTAACTTTATTTATACTGGATAGTTCTATCAGTTCTAAACTGTTCTTCCTAGAGGTCCAGTAAGAATCATCTCTTATTGATCCAGTGTTACTACAGGAGGAAACCTAAACTAAACTAACTTTATTTATACTGGATAGCTTTATCAGTTCTAAACTGTTCTTCCTAGAGGTCCAGTAAGGTTCATCTCTTATTGATCCAGTGTTACTACAGGAGGAAACCTAAACTAAACTAACTTTATTTATACTGGATAGCTCTATCAGTTATAAACTGTTCTTCCTAGAGGTCCAGTAAGGACCATCTCTTATTGATCCAGTGTTACTACAGGAGGAAACCTAAACTAAACTAACTTTATTTATACTGGATAACTCTATCAGTTCTGAACTGTTTCGACCGAGGCGAAATTAGGTATCAGAGGTGAATCCAATAACCAACACGAAAAGTAACCCACCTTGTTTTATAGATTCCACTGGCCTATCCTCGTTGCTCGCGGGCGATGTGTCGCCTCCTGCGAAGAACGACGCCCGCGGTCTGTTCAAAAGTTACCGTGACCGCTCGACCTCGGCCCAGGAAGCTGGACTACGCTCGACCAAAACACAGGAAACCCATGCTGATCCTATAAGCTCTGGTCGATTCTCACGTCCTCAGGCGAATATAGAAAGTAACCAGTCGAATAGACATTCAATGACGTCATTCCCGCCTTCCACTGCCGGAGTAAAAATGAGGTAATGAATATTAGTTGAGCGCAATGGAGTGAATGGACCTATTCTTTACTGAACAAAATTTTGATTTTTTCACCACAGCTTGAAAGAGCATCACAAAATTAGTAATATTCCGAAGTTTCATTGCGAAATGTTGTAAAATGCGGATAATATAGCCTTGCGAAGTTTGCCGTTTTTCAGTCATTTTGTATTACGCACGGGAAATTGATACCATTTTTCAGAAAGCGGTATCTTCCCGTGCGTAATACAAAATGACTGAAAAACGGCAAACTTCGAAGGGCTATATTATCCGCATTTTACAACATTTCGCAACGACACTTCGGAATACTAATTTTGTGATGCTCTTTCAAGCTGTGATAAAATTTTTGTCTAGACTTGTCTAGATCAAAATTTTGTTCATTAGGTAATAGGTCCATATAAGCTATTAGAAATATTAATGATATAGTTAAATGGATAAAACGAGGATGAGAGTGCATGATAGTTGACAGTCACGCGAGCTTTGTTAGCTGTTCTTAATGCTTTCCCAACACTATCATGTATGTTATTTAAGTTTAAACATAGTTGGAACATTCATCAAACCTTTATTTTGTTAATCTAGAGCTTGAAATGCCCCCTGTAACAATGCGTGACTACCAACTCTCATCAACTCTCAGCCTCGTTGTATCGTAGCTTTAAAGTACCACTTACCCACAAAATAATTTTCGGTATGTGTAATATTTGGGTCATTCTACAAATGCAATATATCTTTATTGTAAAAACCTGATGTCAAAGTTTCCGGAATTAAAATGAATTGCAAACTAGTCTTCCTTTGTTTTTGCTGCCAAAATTCATCTAATAACGTCACATCCGGAAACACTGACAGTAAAAAAGTTGATGAAGATGAGGTTTCTTACTATGAAGATGCGTGACATTTCTTCTCAAAATGACCCAAATATCACACTTCAATAGGTAGCTAGGTAAACAGGAAGGTAGGTTGGTCTTTATTTGATAAGCTACCAGTTGGCTGTGATGTTAGGTTTAGCGTTGTTGGTGGCATGTTGGTTAGTGCATTATCACATGTGTCGTTGACCTTTGCATGTGCCTAGATTCCTGCAAAATACAGTTGCCTGATTATAATTTCATCTCAGTCACATGGGAGAAGAGTGCTTCCAGTTTGACTCTACCAAACACCGTAGGTTTTCTCCTGCAGTAACACTGGACCAAAATAAACGATGGTTCGTAACCACACATTCACGGAAAACAGTTTAGAACTGATAGAACTTCCAGTATAGAGAGTCCAGATTTTCTTTTTGTAACACTGGATCAATGAAGGGAAAGCCTTTTGGGAGAACAGTTTAAAATTCACAGAGAAGGCAGTTTGGTTATCGCCTTATCGGTCACCGAATTCGCATCCTACATCGAATTCTCGGCCAGTTTCTGACGTTTGAACAATCCGATACAAATTCCTTGTTCACACGCCATTTCATACTTTGCGGTGTTTTATATCCGCCCACTAATGCATAACTGATATTAATCCTTGTCCATTTTGGTGTTGAAATACATGCTTATAAGTGTTCTTGTGAAATTTGGCAACTGTTACGTGCCATTGCGTTGCTTTGTTGAATGAAGGCGAAAAAAGATTGTGTTTATAATTTTATATTATCTTTATTACTGAGGAAACATTAAGAGTATTGTGCTATGTTATCAACCATGTATTTCTCGTAAGTTGATTTAATTATGTTAATTAAGATAACGTGATAAGTGCTTGATTTGTTTTGGTTTGATATTTCATCTACGCTCAACACGAGTGTCTGTGTGTACTAGTTCTCTCAAGGCTTGCTATATACTGTTAGTGTAGTATTTGATTCAATGTTAGGTTTAGAGGATAACAATTTCCAAATCTGAAGGTATCAAAATACATGGTTTTCATTAGGTTTCCACCTTCATATGATCTGATGTTATTCAGAACTCACTAATGAGTTTAAAATAGGCAGCTGTAGTATTCGTGTTCTTGATTGTGATCTGATGTTGTACAGAACTTACTGCTGAGTAGTTAAGCATGGTTAGAGCATACAACGGTAGTACATGCTCTTGAATGTGGGCTACCTTAAAGTGATCTGATGTTGT